ATTCTTGTGGCTTTGATTAACCCTAACAGTCCCAAATCTTCTGATTTCAATATGCTTTAACATACTCCGTAGGGGGTTATTAATGTAGATAAAAACCGAGTTGAACCCATTTTATGTACAAATACTCATTTCTCTTCCCCCAATTCTCTGAAATACATGTATGCTGAGTACATGTACATCCAACGACTCTTACTTCAAGAAACTGAAGATAGCCATCCATATATTGTACTGCATGTAGTGTTTCTGCAATCTAAGGAACAAAAAAAGTGAACTTGAAAAGGAAGAGTCTGAAACAACAGTGTTGAAAGTTAATCATTGTGAGGTTCCCATAGTTACATCTGTACTTGGCATTCTGCTTTAAGTGGGTGTTACATTGCATGATGACGTGAGGGAGGATGTCTGCAATCAGCATGCCTATTATCATGTGATACCGTCTCCTGCCACTTCATGTAATTTATACAGTTCGGAGCTATACACTATCCAGTGACCAGCTTTCAAACTCGTAACTCTATCTGTTGATGTTTAGGCAGTAAACATCTTCACGCCCTTTCCCTTGGGAGAAAGTGTCCTTTTGTTGATTAAGGTCTTGAATACCCACAGACTCCAAGTGTGTTCATACATGTATTTCTTCCTGAGCATGCACAGTACAGAATGTGCAAATTGAGTGAATGTAATTGTCAAGAGGAACACTTGATGAATTGATGTAGTCACCTGAGGAGCTCTTGATTTGTCACAATTGACATGTCTTCTGGGTTTATTCAGACAGGGGTAAAGCTACTCAGGAGCAATTTTGCAGCAGGTGGCTTTTGTAATTGTCTATAGAGGCTGGCCCTCCTGTCCTGAATACACAACTATCTTCTGTTTGTGTTGGATGGAGCACGTGCTGGGGAATCCTTTTTCAAGGCCTTGAATTCTTGTGAGTTACAAAGAAGTACTAGGGATTTTGACTGATTCTGCACAGCAGCAAAATGTTTGGTTTAACTACAAGGCATCAATTTGCCTTGCATGGGAGGGATGGTTGAATCGCTAATAATAATAATAATAATTCCGATTTATATTGCGCACGTATCCACCCTGCTGGGTGCTCAAGATGCATCATCATCATTATCTCTGCCCATTGGGCTCACAACAACTGAACATTCCAGAAACCATCTCAGCTCCCTGAGAAGAATACTAGCTGATGCTGCCCTATCAGGCGTACACGGCTATCATAACCAAATCTGCCCTCACAGGTACCCATTTACTCCTGGGTGGAGAGAGGCACATAGGGGTAAAGTGACTTGCCCAAGATCACAACATGCTGCCACCAGCTGGATTCGAACCCCTGACCCTATGATCAGAAGTTACAAACCCTAACCACTAGGCCACATGTCCCCAGTCGCTAAGGGTAAGGCCAGTCAAACAAGCTTGTTGGCACTTTTTATTGCAATCCAGTTAGATGTTTCTCCCATCCCAAAACAAAAGCAGGTTTAGCACAGTGGCTATCCCACTATCTTAGGACGAGTGTGAATTCAGGAGTGATGATTACAAAACTGTCCAGTAATCCAGAGCGTGTGCCAGACTGCCAGTCTGGGCCTTGCCTCACTTTATTTTTTCAGGTAAAAATCTGTCAGTTGTTTGGCACATGATCCCTCATTTTAGACCTTAACACACACTTTTAGACATGCACAATTACCAATGAGTGTACTATTAGAATGTTGCCTTACAAACCAACGTGGTTTCATTGATTGTGGGCTGATTGTGGGCGTTTGATCTGCAGGGGCTTTGCCTTGGTATACTATACCTTGTAGCTACTGGTAGTTTGTCAGCTTCCAAAACCTTGGGAGCTGAAATCCTCAAATAGTTGTTACAGTTGTATACATAGAATGAAATATTTTATTTGGAAGCAGCTGCAAGAGTTTGTGAACTTTCAATTTCAGTTGAAAATAATCGTGCGTACGAACGTGTACCTTGTATGCAAATGTATAGATCATATGTGAATGCGATAGAACTTGGATGTGCCATGTAAGTGGGTTGAGTACATACATGTACATGTAGACGATTCGTGGGCTTGAAGCAGCTGGCTTGCGACTCATGATTTTCTCTCATCAATCAGGAATGCTGTGGGAATGGCTATGTTTGCCGGGGCAGGGTTGCGATAACCTATTTGTTTGGCCATGAGGTCTCAAGCACAGACGGGAAGAGGAAGAATTTTAAAATTTGCAACTGAAAGTTCTTGTAGAATGAGCATTTATGAAGCATTAGAAAAAAAAAATTATGTGTTACACATAATGGCTTCATGCATATTTAGGAATTATTTTGGTTCCTTTATAATTGCTGTTAGAACTTGTGCAGGTCATTTTATCATCACTGGTAGTTTTGAGTTATTGCCAAACCAGTTTCCAGACACATTCAGTGTAACTTTAAGCTGAAGTTCGCATAATTATTTGTACTTCTCCAGTTTGCTTGACCAGTATTATTTCTGTCAGTGAGATTCTAAAACATCTTCCTCTCTAGACAGGGCGTAGTTGCAGTGTTTTGGCATCACCACTCATACTAATCTTTTTCACCCATCTTCAGTTTTCTGCAGCTTAATTGCAGAATGAACCATACATAGTGTAAATACTGAGTGCTCCACTAAAATAGATTGTCCGTAGTTAAATCGAGCAGAAAACACAGTTAAAGTGCAGTCCAGTTTAATTTCCTCCTCAGTCTGAAGCATTACAGGGGCCAACGTGTTCATGCTTGGTTGGCCAAGCAAGGCAAACAGTTTGGCCCACTGACCAGTGAAATATTTAATGATAATAGGGACCTCGAAGCCAAACTACGGAAACTGATCATCCTTAGCATAATCCTGGTCATATTGGAGCCTGCTAGAGGTACACTTATATTGCTAAACGTGGGGTTTTCTATGTACTTGATTCAAACAGAACATTGAAGTGTGAATTTCCTGAAGTAAATAAAAGCCAAGGGCTGTTGAGTGTTAGAATGAAAGACCTTGGGTTGGCTTCTTTAAAAGTTATCCACTTCTTGTCAGTACTTCTCTGTTGGTTTGTTGTTTTTTCCCATTGGAAGGACCTTTATTTTTGTTGTGAAACCTATTGAGTTTTAATTTGAAATTGTTATTCAAAGTTTTGCATGCATGTAGCTCTCTTTAGAAAAGTTAAGTTCTAAGACATCAACACTAGACTGTCTCCAAACATGACCCCCCTGTCTGCATTATCAGGAGCAAATTCTGTATAGTTTCTGAGTTACTCGTTAAGCTGGAAACATTTTTATTTCCACTAGTTTTCTGGCACCTGTGTCGATAAACTAAGGCTTGGAAAAAAATACTGGTGTGTGCAGTATAATCTCCAAGTGGGTGTTTTGACATTTTCAATGTTTTCATACATGTACCCGTACATTCAGCTTCAGAATTTGAGGTTAATCTTGTAAAAAAAGGGGGAGGGTATATTTGTGACCGCGCTGCAAAAAAGGGTAATAAGTCGCGCAATTCCAAAATATGTCATGGCCTGTTCTATTTGGAGAGGGCAAAATGTCTTAAAAAATGTGATTTTGTGTTTTTTCCTCTATTAGCTTGTATAACATTTATGTTTTCAGAATTTGTGACTACAAACATGGATACTGATGAATGAAGATGAAAAATTGACCATTCAGTAGGAAATCCTACATAGCATTGTGTTTCCAAGTGCTACACTTACTGAGGTTTTTCTCAAAAAGTGCTTTTATTGAATCCGAAAATGTGGATATACAAATGTCTAAATATCTCTGGAACACACTATAGGGGTCATTCATAAATCAAATTGTAGCTTTTGATGTACAGAATCCAGCCATATCAAAAACTGACAACCTGAATCTGGTGACTTATTACTCATTTTTCTAGAGCCGGTCACATTTGTAAAGAATGGTCAGAGTACATGTACCGGTACATGTAGACTAGGTACATGTAGGTAGTTCCATGCAGTGCAGGGAACATACAGTAATGTGGAGTGTGTAGGAACATGTATTAGGCTGGTGCCACTGCCTAATATTCTCACTGTTATAAACAACAGCTTGTCATGTGCAGCATTTCATCAAAAAGGAAAAAAATGTTCTCTTTTTTGGGCTAGTATACATGTAGATAAATGTACAGTATATGTATATGTGACTTACTGTACATGTACTCAAGTTCTCATGAAGTTGTGAGAGCTAAAGAAGTGCACGAGACAAAAATCGGAAATGCACGTGCAATTTGTCATATCCGTGTCTGTTTTACACTGTGCCAGCTATTTTACGAAATGAGTTTCTCCAAACAATGGCCGACATGCCATCTGCAATGCGCACACCTGTCCACTGTGCAAACTGTTCAAGCCGACACAAGACTTCACCAGTGACAATTGGAAATGAAGAGCTTTGTATGTGCCTGTTGTTCTGACAGCCTACTTGTACTTTACTCTCTTCAGCAAAAACAAAAACCCCTCCAGAATACTCCATGTCTACATGTACAATCCTCAGGGTTTTCATTAATACATGGCGTAATGACCAGTTGAGTATGGCCTTGAGTAGTGCTGAAATCTTTTCATCCAAATACTGGATTCTGGATGAGTAGTCAGTGTACCCAGCTTTATTGACTGCCTACCCTCAGAAAGAGTCAAACGAGTAGCATATTATTACGCTATTGAAAGAAAATGTCCATGACCACTGGGGGAAGTTCACCTCTGCTGCAGGTCTGTTTTTAGAGCCAATGTTTTTTTTGGGGGGGGAGAGGAGGGAGAGAACGCCTTCTCTTCTTCATTGTTAAAATGAATTGTTGTATTTAAAACTTTTTGGTCAGGTTTATTGGGATATTTAAACACAGCATTATTGTTTAGATTGATACAGTGAAAAGCTGCTAGACAGTTACCCATGTACCCTTACATTTATAGACTTTTCACAAAGCCATTTTGTAAAGTTGAAAATTCTGTTTTCTTTGCAACATTGGTTTTGGGACAATCTGGTAAAAACTTTCAGACTTGTTAAAAAAGGATTTTGACGACACGTCCTTGTACAACCACAACTGATAATGTTTAATATATCACATAATGAATCAAAAAACATATTTAGGACAGACTAAAATGTAGAGTACATACATGTATGTACACATCTCTTAAATTAATCATAAGTATAATGTTTAGTGTCTGCCAGGATCTGATTTTTCGATTCACACTTAATTTGGAATTTTCTTTAATTAATGTGGTGGCCTCAGCAGGAAGATTGTGTAAATATATTTATGGTTAATAAGAATAACTTTGTTAATTCCAAAGATTTTCTTGGATACATTTCTGTGCATTAGCTTGACCGCAGAACGTTGGTTGAAATTCGTGCTGAGAAAGTGTGGATTAAACATTACTTTACAGTATGTGATAGATGACCTCCATTCTCCCATTTTATAGAATTTACTTCATACATATTACAGATAAAAGGGTGTACAGTGGTAGTCATCGTTACGTTTTAGCACATACTGCTATTTTAGAGGTTGCTTTTATAGTAGAGTGCCTTAAATCCAATGGATTTCATTCACAGTTTGTAATGGATGTCGCTCATGGATAACGTTGAACCAGTAACTGTGTTGTAAGATATTTCATGCCCTGATTTTGTTACCGGGAGTTTAGGAGCTACTAAAACATGTAGTGGAGTGTTTTCGTTTTTTGTAGCTCCACATTTAATGTATAACCTGTAGAGAGTATTGTAGTTTTCTGGCTGAAACCCTGGGTATTAACCATTTAAAACGTATTCGATGTGAGTCTAAAAAGTACATGCAGCTTCTTCCGTGGAAGAGGCTTCAACTTGAATTTGATTCCTGCACAGGTACAGTAGGTGTCAAGGACTTGAAAGTTATCCCCGCTTCACCCCATTTACTCTGAATTTGTTGTGACTCACATCCTGGTCCTCTCAGTAACAGCACCTTCCTACAAAGCACTGCTGCTCCTGCAGGTGTACTTGGCTGCCGCAGCGGGCATGGGCAGGACCTTGCCGAAACAAGTCAGAAGTAGCCGTTGGCACTCGTGGCGAAACCTGGGATTGATCAACGAGTACAAAATGGGATTCAGTATCGAGTTGAAGTAAGGCACGATTGTCTGGCAGATGTACAGAGCTTGTTTCTCGAGGCTGACATTCACGTCGGGTTCCAGTGTGGCCGAGTAAATTTCTGCAATCATTCTCGGCATCCAGCACAAGACGAAGGCACCGATGACCAGTAAGAGACGCTTGGCGACAATGAAACGTGTGTGGTGCATAATCTTCTGGCCGTGGCTTTCATTCTGTGTGTCATTGTTGCGCTGGGAGATCACATAAAATATTTTCAAGTAAGCCATGGCAATGATAAACAGGGGAATCAAGAGGCTGATAAGGCTGTCTGCCATGGCCACCCCAAGCCGCGCTGGAAGCTTTCCGATATTGTCATACCGGCACTGGTCCTCAAAAAGTAATGAAAACGGAATGGATACGACAATTGTAAAGGACCAGATGAAGAGGATGGTGTACGTGACACGGCGCACCTGGGTTCTCCGGTTGAACGGCCGGCAGAGACAGTAGTAGCGATCAACCGAGATCCCAACCAGCATCCAGGCGGAAGTGAACATCACCACGTGCCACACATAGGCAAAGACAGCGCACTCCAGGGCAACAACCAGCCGGCTGACGGCCGAGCATTCCAAGTGAAGCTGTATGGGGATGGCCACAGTGCAGACAATGAGGTCTACCACAGCCAGGCTGCACAGGAAGTAGTTGGCAGTGGACTGGCGCTTCCATCGGTTGCGCAGGTACACCATGATGACCAGCAGGTTGCCCAGGATTCCCGCAACCATGAAGAAGGCCATCAGCACGATGTTAACGGTCATGCTCCAGCCACTACCTACATGCGATGTCAAGTTGCCCCTGGTTTGGAGGAGGGTTTCATTCCTGAATGTGATGGAGACCACTTGGGTATTGTTCCCATTCTCCTGTGCCAAGCTTGGAGCATATTTATCAAATCCCATATCGGTCGAGTTTAACAAAGGCAGTGCATCGCCGGTCGGCAGAGTCATCGGAAAGCTAGTCATAGCAGCAGGTGTCAGGGCCTCTGTCATACGTGCAAGAATAAGAGTTTCCCTCATACATGTACATGTAGCGTCCAAACAGAACTGCCATACACAAAAACGCTTGTGTTTTCTCATAGAAACATCATCTGAGCTGAAGCATCCACTATATTGTTAATTGCAGAAGATGTGCATGTATTTGCAGATGTGTCCACAAGTTGTTGTTCCCAAACGTAGTTCACTGGGCAAAAATATTTCAACAAGAAGATACACAGGTAGGCCTAAGGAGAGTTGTCCTCATCAAGCAGCAGGAGTTTTCCTGTGTGGCAAGGATGCGAGATTGGCCAACTGTTTCCAGGCACGTTCTGCTCACAGCAATCTGAAAAAAAATGTAGAGTCCTTGGTCAAATTTACGCACTTCTGAGTCTTTGATCCAATTTGTTTGCCAAAGCCAGCGGTGCTCTGGTCACGTCACAAGTTCTGACAGTTTTTGCTGTCTCAGCTGAGCAGGCACTGGGCGGAATGGATCCTGGTCATCACCAGTGAGAGAGAGAGAGCGTGTGACTCTGTCGGTGGTCTCAACTCAAATACTCATGAGCACCGTGGCTGGTTTGATCGAACATCCAGCAAGCTTTACCCAGGATATTGTAGTCTTCTCTCAGCGGACATTCTTCTCCCCTTTTGGTTTGGCCTGCATGTGTACTAATCCCTGCAAATAAACAAGACAATTATCAACTGTGATCCTTTACAGAGTGTATACCAGGACTTTTTAAAAATTATGTACATAATATCTAAACTGGCCTTCATGGTTCCATAATGATCCTTAATTGTAAATTTAACTATTGAAAGGCAGTTATGGGAGAAATGTAAATGAAATTAATTAGATTTCATTCTAATGTCTCCTTGAGGGTAATTCCGGAAATTAGGGGTCTAAAAGTGTGACATTTTCGTGTCCCCGTTACATCTGACCTTTTTTATTTCATATGGAAATATCTCTGGAATTTACTTCCGTCTATTACTATCTGTTTGGCAGTAATTTGCATTAATTCATCATTCTTGGAAATTTAGAAAAAGCGTTTTGAATTTACAAAATTATATACATCAGATGTGACGGGGACACACAAAAAATAGACCCCTAAGTTCTGGAATTACCCTTGAATGAAGTTTGGTGGAGGGGTTGTCGATTTTAACTTTTGTTGATCAGTTAGTATCATTAAAATGGCAGAGTGAGCAGAGAGGAGAAAATACAAGTCATCCTTCATTGAAAGAAGATCAGGATTGCAGCATTGGAGTTTTATTCACCAAATTGATTGATAGTCATTTGAGGAAAGTGCATTTAGCCATTTATTCCGTCAGGGCCATGTTGATACACAGAGCAAACCACTCGAGATATGTTTGATCTCAGCCCGTCCCATCGCACAGTTCTATACCAAAGGTTTTTTGTCGCGTAAGTGTGTAAATCCTGTTGCTGGTTTTGCCTTGAAAGCATCGTAAAGTGCACAGAGCTTAGCAGCATTTGTCCATCAAGTGTTACGAGCCCATTGCGTACATACCAAGCAGATTCCGTGCATTGCTACATTTGTCATAAATGCCTTTTTTTTAAGGGACAGAGGGCCTTTATGTGAAGACACTTTTTATGGAAGTCACAATTTTGCAGACTGATGACTGGGAATAATCTTCATCTCTATACCAGTAGATTTGCTTTTTTTAAAAAAATAAGAATGATTGCAGTGGTACTGATATTCTCCATTGAATTTCAGTCAGAGAACTCCTTAGTTCACATACATGTAATGTACACTGAAGATATCAAAATGTGACATCCAGAACTATTCAGTACGGGGAACAAAATCTAAGTGGTGCATAAAAATCGTTCAGACATCAGCAAATAAAAATTGGATGCCGAGTGGTTCCCAACCATGGCAGGGTCATGCAGAATTTAACGAAGTCTTCTGCATTTTTCGTGAAGCTTGCTTTTTTATACGTATTGGTGCTGTTACAGCCTGAAGGCCACTTTGCATGAAAACAAACACAGCCGTGAAGTTTACCAAAGTGTGAATTTACAACAGTTGAAACATGTAACTCAAGGGAAGGATTGGTGCAAATGTTTCTAGACGTCGTAGTTGCTTTGCTTTCAAAATTAATGCATGAACTGCTCTTCAGGAAATATGAACCAGGGAAGCATGTTTTTAGCAGTATAATGTTGTACATTTACATGTTGCATTAGTAATGTATCGGGCTGAGTCAGTTTGAATAAGTCACTATTTGATTAATTAACCTTCAATACCCAAATATTTGGTCGTACCGACTGGCAGATTGTTGATGAACAAAGCATATAAAAATCAGTTGGAATAATGTACACAATTGTACATTATAATTACTATAGCTTCTCACGTCTAGGAGTATTTCTATCCATGACTTAGCAAGATTTAAGAGACGAACAATACTTCTTGTACTGTTTAAACTTTTTATTCTTTTTAAATTTTTTTGATGAATAATTTACTTTTTGAATCGTAAGATTTCTGTTGGTTTTCATTTGAATCTGCTTGAAACAAGCCTCCATAGTGCAATTTTCTCATTTAATAAAAAAAAAAATCTCCCTTCCTTCGCATGAATTTTGTATTTGAATATTCAAATTCAGAAAATAATATTCAAATATTCAATAATCGATCAGATATTCTTAACAGCACTAAATAATGTATGAACCAATCAGCTTGGACTTCTTTAGCTTGTACAAGCATTCAGTGTGGATGCTGGATAGTCCATTGTATACATGTAAACTTCATCGGGATCATTTTTTTCCTGTCCTGTCTTGACACGGATAAATCCTCCTCGCTTTCCGTGTTCTCCCTCCAGTCATCCCTCTTTCCTCTGTCAGATTTGTCAGAGCTGGTATGCTGCCAGTGTGGCTTGTCATTTTTCATGGGAAAGATTGGCACTGGTAATTATGCACGCTCCTTGACTGCTGATGCTCCCCGTTTACTTCGAGTGCATCGGCCGGATGTGCTTCAGCCATCGGTGTCGGTGTGGGAGTTGGTTAATGTCCCTGCTCACTGCAGAATTTTGAATAATTTTACACAAGTGGACTTATTTTTTGTGAGCTGAAACCTTCTTTGTTTACCCAATTAAGAAGCTTTAAAAGTCCTTGTGACCTGTCCAACTCTTGTGATACTTGTAATAAAATGTATTTTTGGAGTAGAATGATTGAAGTTGTAACTCCTTCATCCTTTAAGATTCCAGCAATATAAGTGTCCACCTGTTATGTTGCTTGTTCTCGCACACTACTATAACTAAAAAATGCAGTAAGATGAAAAGGCGTGACAAACCCCGCTCAACCCTACAACTAATTAAAATTCAGAAAAATTCAGCCAAACCTATCAAACCCAGTCTCATGGGTCAACTCAATGGTATCAGACCCAACCCAACTGAACCTAACGCATCTTAGTCTGACTCAAACCAAGTCATGGAAGAGGAAGCCCAGGTAGATCCCTCAAAACCATAGAAATCCAACCAAAGTCCAAGCCACAACGCTGCAAACCACTTCAAAACCAACCTTAAGCCATTGTGATGCTGACTGCAACCAAGCCACCAGTTCAACTTAGGACGGCCCACGTCTTACCAAGTCCCTTGATTAATTTACCATCATCAGTACCAGCACAGCAGAAACTCACCTCTAAGTAAAAATGTCCACCACCAGTGGCACCAACAGAGAAGCTTTCTGAAGGAGCACAGTCGCTTCATTATGGAACTAGTCAGTGATTTTTACCTGTCTCAATCCATCAGCCTCGTTCTTTTTTGGGTGCATTCGCTCCGAGCACCATCACGGTGGCGTAAATGTGTACATGTTACGTACTTGTGTCTGGAGGGTCCTCTCAGTTAACCTTGTTTCTGTTGAATGAATTCAGTCTTACAAGTTAATGTACCGTAACAGTAGCGGATCTATGTTTAATAGATTACAGGATGATGGAGGGGACCATGGCTGAGCATGTTCCATTGTATTCTTGTATTTTAATGAACCTGTATCCTCCTGGATTGTGTCGGTGTTACCAAGATTATTGGCCCGTTTATTGGCGTAGACAGCGTGGAAGAACCAGGAAACTAAAGCGACTTTTGGAAATTTTCTCCCTGTTGAGCAAAAATTGCTGGTTTATTACTTCTACACTCAGCAAAACCGTGTACATGTATTTGCATTGGTAAATATGTATGTGTGGAGCTTGGGCTCAGAAACTGTAAGTAAGCAGAAAATTTTCCCATTTCCAATTATGAATTGTGGAGGTAAAGATGCCTGCTGTAGGCATTAAAAATGACGGAGTGTGTTCTGCTCTAAGATCTGGTCTTGAGTAGCAAGTTGTCCCGTGCCGGATCTGTGCTACACGTAATGCCACATGTACCTTTTGGTTCTAGCACTGTATATGCACCTACATGTAGTCACAGACAGTCAATTAAAAATCCGGTCCATTCTTCTTGCTACAGTAGGCACAGGTAGACATATCGTACGTGCATTCACATGACGGGCTGGACAAGTCTGTGGTGAATGCGTACTTGCATAGGAGGGATAAAGTATTGGCCATGTTGTTGTCACCTGTATCCATACATGTAGTTATTATCCTAATTGGAAGCATTGTGGATTAAAAGTAAGGTCAAATAAAACTGAAGTTGTAAAATGCTGCTGCAAACTGCAGAAACCCATCAAATAAGGACCTCAGCATGGTTTGGTTCACTGGCCGAGAAGAAGAGTCGAAGTGACCTCGCCAATTGTGTCCATCCTTTGATCCTACCAAGGCCAGTAGATTCAGGATGCTGGGTTTGTACTGAGGGAATGCCACCTCTGGAGTTGCATTGATTTATGCGGTCAGCTGTGCTGGTTCCTCATCGTGAAACTGTTATACTGGATGCTTTGAATATTACCTCCCATGATGCATCCGACCAGGCTAAGATTTGAGCTATGTTACTTGTACTGTATTCTTTGACTGGGGGTATTTTGGGGTTTAAATTGGGCCACAGTCGGAGCCATCACAATATTGCTTGTTGTTATCAGAGTGATTTGTTGATGCTGAGTTTAAAGGATGGCTGCAATCAATTTGTTTTACGCACCTTTGAATATCAGTTAACCATACTTCAACTTGTGTCTCAAGGATTCAAAGGGTATTTTATTGCCTTTTTTGTTTATAACCAATGCGTATTTCCATATTCATAATTTTAAGTGTTTGAAAAGTCCACTTTTCAGTGCATTCAACCAGAAAGGGGTGTGAAAGAGTTTTTGTACAGTGAAGGAGGGTACAAAGTTAAAGAAAAATTGTGTCTAGAAAATTTCACTGTGGCTACACTTTAAAAACTCTTGAAAACAGAACGGAAAGAAATTTCTCACCACTTATGTCCAAGTACCAGTATATATGTACATGTACCTGTAGGTTATGCATTGCTTGACTTTGATATAATGTACTAGTATTAGAAACAGAACTTGCTAGTTGTAATTCAATTCATATAAGTAACTTGAAAGGTTGACAGGATGTCTTGACATGTTTATTAAACACGTGCCGGTATTCTCTTCAGTGATTTTTACGCAGGGGGCATGGCCTCTCAGTCTTCACATGCCAGACGCCATACTGTGAACGTTTTTAAGTGAGCACTCTAACAATTTTAGTATGAATGACTGAGGAAGTTTATTTACCTAGCCTCCTTCCAGACATTTGGAGAATATGGCGCCTTTTC